AAATAGCTATTTTTATCTCGCCCATAACAAAGGATTACATTTATTGAATTAATGAAGTTATTAAATGTTATGATATTAGGATTAAGGATTCTGATTCCGGATTAATAGAAAATATGAAACAATGCAATATCAATTAAATCTCTGGCTTTACAATGAAAGTTTATTTGATATGCTTTTGCTATTTATGGTGCTTCTTGGGATTACAATATTAATTAAATTTTTGATGAAAGCCTATTCGATATATCTGAAACAGTGCAATTAATGCAAGCCTCTACATATAATTTTTCTCCCTCTCAAATGCTTCAAACAAATGGCAGAAGCGAGAAGGGATGAAGAAAGCAAATGTTGCGGGCCGTGGGTCAATATTGGACTTCAGAATAATAAAAAAAATCATTTGAGCCATAAATAAAAATTTAAATATATATAAATGTATATATCGTATGGGTCTTTAATGTTTTTCTGAATTTCTAAACTTAGGACTTTTAAAAGTAAAAAAAAAATACATTTGAATTAACTCCACAAACCAGGACTATGTGGTTCAATGGTATCCGGGTTGGACTTCCATTTGAAAGGTTGTGAGTTCGAGCCTCAGTGGAGGCGTTATTAGCTCTTTGTGTTTCAATAGGTTGAGAAAGTATATGAACAGATACTACAATGTAATAGAGCTAGTAGCATTCAAAAAAAAAAAAAAGAATTAACTCCACAAAAAGTGGTCTTGGACTTATAGAATGACATTTGGGCTTATGGAATGACATGTGCATAAAGAATATATTATATAATCATATACAAAAGTGTGTTCAATTAGAGTTTAAATTTACTCATGAAAAATTTGAAATTTGCTTTCTAAACGTAATTATCTTAGTTATTATTCGTATTGTGAAAATTATAATATAGATGAAATACATTTAAGAATAAATCAATGTAATTATGTAAATCCTCTCTATAAGTTTATTTGAATATGTACATAATTAGATATTATATTAACCATACAAAATTTTAATTTTAATTTTAATTGTAATTTTGTATTCTATAAAAATAATAAATACTTGACCAATGTAAGCTCAAAAATATTATTATATTAAACAATTTAAAATATTTTTATTTTTTCTATTTTTTATTTATATTTATAATAACATAATTTTTCCCCGTGCATCGCGCGGGTAATAATTATTAAATAACAAAAAAATTATATATAAATAAACCTCATATATGGTATATTTTTATAACATATTTTTCGTGCATCGCACGAGACAAATACTAGTTTACAAAGTATAGATGAATCAAACAATAACTAAAAGTAAATCAACACACAGAGATTTGTTTATGTAATTTAATGTAAACGCATTTACCTCTGAGAACCACCAATGGTTAATCCAATCCACTATCTCAAAGGCTATTAAAACATATGGTAAGAGAACAATATCACTAGTACGTGATATATCCCACACTATAAGTACCCAATCTGCAAGTCACCATAGATGGATTGTTGAGCTTGGAGATCCATCTTTAAGTTGTCCAAAGAAGATCGGAGATCCATAGCTTCCATTGTCCATCTCACATATTCACCCACCGTTGCACCACAACTAATATGGAATACGGTCGTCCAGAAGTGATTAAATCACTTGAATTTCTTTTCTTCAAGATCAGTGAATTCCAGATGAAGATGATAATTGTTGGGTGAGATAGTTGGGCCTGGACGACCTGCCAGATTGATTTGCTATTATATTTCTATTAGATGTTCAGTGAAGGCTCAAAATATATATAACCATCCAGCTTATATACTCGGCCCAATCAAAAGAAAAAATTACATTTTTGGTTCAGTGATTATTCGGGTCTTGTTAATTTTAGTACTTGACTTTAAAAAAAAATAACAATTTAGTACCCTAACTATGCAAAATTTCAACACATTTTAGTCCACCTGACCACATTTAACATGACTTCAATAGTCACAGGACCAAAAGTTTAATTTTCCAGTTGAAGATGATAATTGTTGGGTGAGATAGTTGGGCCTGGATGACCGGCCAGGTTGATTTGCCAGTATATTTCCATTAGATGTTCATTGAAGGCTCAAAATATATATAGCGATCCAGTCTATATAATCGGCCTAATCAAAATTATGAAGATATAATTAAAGAATGGTGAATTGGAGCAAAATGACATAAAGTTTCTTGTCTAATATATTGATGGTGTAGTATTTTAATAAGTTAATACCATCTAAGGTCCTCCGACTATAGTGGTTTTGCCACGTTTAGTCCTAAACTTTCAAATTGATCATTTGTGGTCCTTCGACTTTTAAATTTAACCATTCGTGATCCAAGTTAACCACTCATGATCTTTCAAGTTTTAAAATTTAATCAGTAGTGGTCCTCATGAAAGGACCATGGTTGGTTAAAATTTAATAGTAGAAGGACTATGGGTGGTTAACTAGGACCATGAATGGAAAAGTTTGAAAGTCGAAGGACCACATATAGTCAATTTGAAAGTTTAGAACTAAACATGGCAAAATCACTATACTTGGAGGACCTCAGATGGTATTAACTCTATTTTAATCATATCTCAACCTAAGAATGTCCAAATCAAGTGATCTTAAACCAGTGGAAAGATAACTAAAAAAAATCTGTAATTATAAGCTTCAAAGAAACAAGGTTTTACGCTTTTACCATCATCTTCTACTTTGATGGAAGAACAGGGATGCTCTGTTCATGCCAGAAGAAGTTATGAGGATCAACCTTCGTCTTCACAGCAACAAGCCTCTCAAAATTTCCCTTGAAATACTTATAACCCCAAACACTAGCCTCTGAGAAGCTCGTGTTTCCGCCATTGTTGTTCATTCCGAGGTCTAGATCCCTGTAGTTCACATAAGCTTCTCTAGGAGACTTGGAAACATAAGTGCCCATGTAATCGTACAGCCGCCTTATCCAGTCTAAGTGTTTCTTCTCCTCCCCCTCTGTTTGCCAGCTCGTCAGGTACTGGATCATGCATATCACCCCTTTCCGGTGAGGGAATGGGGTGGAGGATTCCGGTATCTTCGCCATCATTCCCCCGTACGGATTGAGGATCATCCGCGGCGAGTCCTCCTCCAGGAAGATCTTCCAGAGGCCCCGGAGACCGCTCTCGGGAATGGGTTTTCTCAGGAAGTCTGATTTGGCTTTGAAATTTGACTTCGGGAATAATGGTTTTCCTTGGAGGAGAAACTCCGGCGGCGTGGTTCTTGGGTTTCCGATCATGTAAATCACCGACTCGATCCAGCTCATTTCGGCGCAGTCTTTTCGGGTCAATCCTAGTTCAGGGAAGCTGTGATTCGTGATTTGGAGCAGCCTGTCGGTTTGCCCGAGAAACAGGGCTTTGTATACCGTTTGTACGGTTCTTTTGCCGTTGCCGGCAGTTGAGTTAACCGCGGTGATGGTGACTCCGATGAGGAGATCATCGTCGAGCTTATGGGCGACTTTCTGCCATTTGTAGAGTATTTTCGTTGCGTTTTGCTCTAATGTCCTCGAGACTGTAAAAACCGTCACCGTCGATGGAACCGGAACTAGCTTGATTTTCCAGGCGAGTAGAATTCCGAAGCTTCCGCCGCCGCCGCCCTTGATTGCCCAGAACAAATCTTCCCCCATTGCGGCTCTGTCTAGAACCCTCCCCGTGGCGTCAACAATACGTGCGTCCACAACGTTGTCCGCTCCGAGACCGTACTTTCTCATCATCGGACCATACGCGCTGCCGGTTATGTGGCCTCCGATTCCCAAGCTGGTGCAAAACCCCGCCGGAAAACCAAGAATCTCGCTTTGTTCCGCAATTCTGTAATAAACCTCTCCATTGGTGGCGCCAGCCTGGACCCAAGCACTGTTATCTTCAACATCAACATTAATTCCCCGGAGCTTAGCCAAATCAATCACGACAAAGGGCGCCGGAGATTCCATGTCCGACGAGTAGGATAAGCCTTCGTAGTCATGGCCGCCGCTGCGGACTCTGAGCAGAATTCCGGCTTCTTTAGCGCAAATGACGGCGGCCTGAACGTGGGATTCAATCAGCGGGGTGAAGATGAGCAGCGGCTTGGGCGCGGAGGGCACCAGGAAGCGGAGATTTTGGGCGGTGGATTGGAGAACGGAATTGAACGATGAAGCATTTGTAGTGGGGGAGAAGAAAGCCGTGGAGAATGGAATGGAGGTATCGGAATATAAAGAAATGCATTTGTAGAACTTATCTTTAAAGTAAACGGAAACCACCGGCGGCGAAATGATTAGGCAAGTGAATAAAATTGATAGAATAATGGCGGAGCTCGAAGAAGCCATAGCCGCCATGCGTTTTCTCTAATGCGAAGACGATGAGTGGCTCACCTCACATATATAAAAGTGTAATTTAATTGTAAATTAATCTCCTTTTAATGAATATAAGTATAGATCTGAAGCAAAGAACTTGTTTAATTATCAGAGTCAACATAAGCTAATAATGGATTGGGAATGCATGTGCGGCTTAATTAGCTTAGTAAGCAATTTTTGAATGAAAAGATCAATGTTTAAAATTTAAAGTTATCCTCATTTACATCAGTAATTATTCTATAAGTTTGAACTTCAAATTTGATGAACTTCAGTCAAATTGATTAAATTATTAACTAAATGATGTCTCTTTGTTGATACATGTTCAAAATGAAATTAAGAAGATAATAGAACTTCATCATTTTGTAGAGATTAGGCTAATTTTGATATGGAGTACATAAGTTATATTACTTTGTAATTTGGTAGGAACATAATTAGACAAAAAAGATACAGAGTACATGTATATTTTAAGAGTGACTCTCTTGTAAAATCGTCTTACAGATAAGCACCATCTTACGGATAAGTAGATCTAATAAATATATCATAAAGTTATTTATAACATGGGCACATTATTTAGACATCAAATATATATTTGGTAAAATGATCAACTAATGGCAAGAGATTGTGCGTGATTCATGTGGTATATATTTAGATTAAAATAATGGTTAGTGATGACAATGGGGAAAGTAGCGGAATTCAACATTAAATGATTGGGTATTTCATTATTGCCATAAAAATGGGTTTGAAAGATGATATGAACTTCCCCATTTTTTCTTAACCTTAATCACACTGGACTTAAAATACATACATACATAATTAGGAAAGAACAGGGATGCTCTGTTCATGCCAGAAGAAATTATCAGGATCAACCCTCGTCTTCACAGCAACAAGCCTCTCAAAATTTCCCTTGAAATACTTATAACCCCAAACACTAGCCTCTGAGAAACTGGTGTTTCTGCCATTTTTGTTCATTCCGAGGTCTAAATCCCTGTAATTCACATAAGCTTCTCTGGGAGACTTGGAAACATAAGTGCCCATGTAATCGTACATCCGCCTTATCCAGTCCAAGTGTTTCTTCTTCTCCCCTTCAATTTTCCAGGACGTTAGGTACACGATTTTGCATATCACCCCTTTCCGGTGAGGGAATGGAGTGGCAGATTCTGGAATCTTTGCCATCATTCCTCCGTACGGATTCCAAACCATCACCGGCGTATCCTCCTTAAGGAAAATCTTCCAGAGTCCCCGGAGACCGCTCTCCGGGACAGGCGTTCTTAGGAATTCCGACTTCGCCTTGAAAAATGTCTTCGGAAAGAGTGGTTTCCCGTGGAGGAGAAACTCCGGCGGCGTGGTTCTTGGGTATAAGGCGTTGTAAATTACCGATTCGATCCAGCTCATTTCAAGGCAATCCTTTGGGGTCAAGCCCAGTTCTGGGAAACTGTGATTCATTATTTTGAGCAGCCTGTCGGTTTTCCCGAGAAACACGGCGTCGAACGCGGTCTGTACTGTTCTTTTGCCCTTGACGGCGGTTGAATTCACGGCAGTGATGAGGACTTTGAGTAAGAGATCCTCGTCGAGCTTGTCGGCGACTTTCTGCCATTTGTAGAGTAGTTTTGTTGCGTTTTGCTCCAATGTCCTCGGGACTGTGAAAACAGTCACCGTCGCCGGCACCGGAACCAGCTTGATTTTCCAGGCGAGTAGAATTCCGAAGCTTCCGCCGCCGCCGCCCCTGATTGCCCAGAACAGGTCCTCCCCCATTGCGGCCCTGTCTAGAACCCTTCCCGTCGCGTCAACAATACGCGCATCCAAAGCATTGTCAGCTGCGAGACCGTACTTTCTCAGCATGGCACCATACGCGCCTCCAGTTATGTGCCCTCCGATTCCCAAGCTGACGCAATTCCCCGCCGGAAAACCAAGATTCTTGCTTTTTTCCGCAACTCTGTAATACACTTCTCCATTGGTAGCGCCGGCCTGGACCCAAACACTGTTATCCTCAACATCAACTTTAATTCCCCGGAGCTTAGCCAAATCAATCACGACAAAGGGCGCCGGAGACTCCATGTCCGACGTGTAGGATAAGCCTTCGAAGTCATGGCCGCCGCTGCGGACTCTGAGCTGAACGCCGGCTTCTTTAGTGCAAACGACGGCGGCTTGGACGTGGGATTCAGTCAGCGGTGTGAATATGAGCAGCGGCTTGGGCGCGGAGGGCACCAGGAAGACGAGATTTTGGACGGTGGATTGGAGAACGGAGTTGAAAGATGAAGCATTTGTAGTAGTGGAGAAGAAAGCGGTGGAGAATGGAATGGAGGTATGGGAATGGAGAGAAACGCATTTGTAGAATTGATGTTGAATCGAAAGAGAAACCGCCCATGGCGAAAAGGTTAGGAAAGTGAATAAAATTGATAGAATTATTGGGGAACTCCAAGAAGCCATAGCTATATGCAGACTGCTCTGCATTTTCTTGAGTGTGAAGATGATTAGAATCACACATATATAGCCAATAAAGTTGTGATTAGTGGTATGAAGTCGACTTTACAGTAGATGAGATATTGACTCTTTGTAAGCGATGAATATGGCGTTTGAAAACAATCATTGATTTCTTTTGGGCAATCATCAACTTTATAGGCGTGTTTTTTGCTACTATATATGTTTTCGATGGAAAAAGTCTGATGCTTATCGGAAGGGGAGTGGATCTAGCAAGAAGTGGGAT